ATTCCTGCTATCTGGACAGGCGTGCGTCCCCTCCGGCTGTGAAAGGAGGTAAAAATTCCCTGAAGCTCTCAGCTCCTGAGCAAGGGAGAGGAAAGAAGGGCCTTCTCCAGGCTGAATCTGGGATCACCGACCACACGAAACAGATGTGCTCTGCTCCTCACCCCACAGAGCCCACAACCATGCTAGGCTCTGTTTTCTTCCCCTCGTAGGATTGCCCCTGAAGAAAGTGTCTCCTTTTGGGCAGCTCATGGGAAGCTCAGGAAAGTCTCAATCGGTTCAGAGGGTGGGTGAGAAGGGGCAGGGCAGCTGTGCCACCGCAGCTGTGGGCTAAGAGCAGGCCTATGAGAGTGACACCTGCACTGGTGGCTCCTGGCTATCTGCTGCTTGTCAAGACGGTATTTGGGAGAAGAACCAGCTTGGAGAAGGGCTGGTACTACTCTAAGTGACTGTGATGCTGCCAGTGCCCCCCTTGCAGTACAAGAACCATCTTCAAGGGTCAACCAGAAGAGCCCTGGTGCCCAGGGGCTGGTGGAGAAGCAGGCTCAAGTGAGCAGGACACCCGAGACCTCCATGAACCATGTTAAAACCCATGCAAGTTTTGCAAGTACTCACTAGCATGCCTGGCTGGGACAAACAAACCCGCTCTGGGTATCTGCTCATGACAGAGGCTGTGGGAGGCCTTCTTCAAACAGCTCTCCATCCGTCCTTGCCTGGTCAGCTTGTTCCTCAGCTCCTCAGCCCGAATGGGACTCACACAAGCCTGCTTTGCGCAGCGATTGGCCCCTCCATGTTAAACGGAGGTGACCTCTTGGCAGCAAGGGGGATAGTCACTGAGCATCGCTGCTCCCCTCCCCGCTGGGGCAGAGGATCTCTTGGGGAGCTGAGACTGTGTGTGCTGTCACGTTTCTCCACCAAAATTATGCGGAGAAGCCAAAAACAATAGCATGCCAAAAACACCCAACTGAACATGACAAGTCCTGCCTTCTACCGTGGGCCAGGTCCAAAGATTTTCCAGCTTTTTTTCTTCTCTATACCTCTTTTTCCAGGACTTGATGTTAGTATATACAAAACACAAGGAGGGAAAACCCCTGAGGCACTTCCGAAATTTTCTATTCATCATAAACAATAGAGGGGAGGGAAGGCAAGCGAGCATCAAGGAGGATTTCAAATATCTCCAAATTGCTCCCAGGAAGGGCATGAAGAAGGTTCTCTGACTTCTGCTGAGGTCTGCTGAAACCCACTCAAAACATGTCACCTGCAGCGAACGGGGGGGAAACCCTCTCTTGGCTTGTCCCTGGCCAGCCTTGGCAACAGACACAGAAAAATAGCTCAGGGGTGTGTTTGCTCATTTTGGGGCTTCTCCTACTAAACTGGCACCTTCTTGAGGCCTGACAGCCCCCATGGCCACCTACTCCCTCCTACCACAGGGTCTCCTCTTAGCTCCATCCCTAAAGATTTTTGCTCGTGGCCGTGCACGGAGAGCACAACAGCATCCTGCCTTGCTTGGGAGGTGACGGAACCAGACACCACTTAGCACCCCGGGATGCGTCCTGCTCACATAGGACCCACGGCAGAGCGCCTGCTCTCCCAGAGGAAAGCCAGGGGACAGGGACAGCTGCGGCAGCATGCAGCCACTGCGAAGGAGGACAGCAAGGGGAAAGTGCCAGGGGGAGGAAGGACTGAAGGATCCTGTTGGTATAAGAATGGACAGACCTGAACCAGCTAGGAATACAGCAAGGCTGGGAAGTAGTGGCTGCCACCCCTCAGAGAAGCACCAGGATCTGGAAAAGCCTTCCAGCGGGAACTGCGAGGGCAAAGCCTTAGCTGCTTGTAAAACTGAGTGTGACAAGTTTATGAAAGAGGTTGTATGGCCTGAAGCAGCCAGCATGAGGATCCAGGCACTCAGGGGACTCCTCCTCCGCGGCCTTTGTAAGTTATGTCAATACTCATCCATTCAGTTAAAAAAAAAAAAGAGGCAGATGCGTCTGTCCTAAAATTCTCTGTCTTCATTTCTCTACCTGTGGATCTTGCTATTCTGCCATTTTTCTGCTCGGTTAAACAGCCGCCGCCTCTTCAGACCCCATGCACCAGTACAGTCTGGGGGTTGACCTGCTGGAAAGCAGCTCTGCTGAGAAGGACCTGGGAGTGCTG